CATGCACAAAAACAAGACAGAGCAAAACCAAGCAACAATAAAAAACAAAACAATAACAACAACAAAAATGAAAAGCTTGTAGTTAGTTCAAGGAATGTTTGTTGGCCTTTAGGAGCGTTTTCCGATCAAGTCTGATGGGGTGCCAAGCCCTGGTCCCAAAGTCTATTTTTGGTATTCCCTGGGGACTTCGTTGCTCTATTCCCCTTGCTGTTGTGTTGCACACCCTTAATGTTTTGCCTCGGTGTGGTGGGATCAGATCCGGCAGAATTCCCACATTGTGTCTCCAGTGTTGTCCCCTGTAGGGCTATGGGTCAGTGAGGGATGTCGTGTCTCAGAGTGGAGCCGGCCATGTGGTCTTCTCTGTGGATTGGCTGCTCTGAGCGGAAATAACATCCTCAAGGCTTGGTGGGCCAAGGTGTGCTCCACTTTCTCTTCCTCCCCCTTCATTTGCTCCCGTGTGCTCTGCTCAGACATGCCCCTCTCCCTGAGCTGCAGGTTCAGTGCTGTCCTCTGAAATAAAATCAGAGCGGGTAGGGCAGGTGTCCACGTAGTTGGGATGGTCATCTCTCCAGTGTACTCTGTTTAGTAACCACTTTCCTCCCATCCCTATATGCTGGATGAGGGAAATCACTGGAGGTTTATTTCCTATAGATCCCACAAATGTATCTTGGGCTCCCAGGGGCATCCATAGCCTTCTGCAAATCGGATTCTCACAATTTAGGCTTTGATACTATTCCCCCCTTTGGCATCGCATTATGTGATTTATAATCTTTTGGTGCCTGATGCTGGTGTGCTTCTTCCATGTGGACTTAGTTAACATCTCATTTAGAGGGCTACTTGTTTGGAAACAAGCCTTTAAGGCCCAGACACTTTTTTATCTGATTGCCACACACCATCTAAATTTTTCCACATTTTGCGATAGCACCATATCTTCTGTGCTCCTTTCCTGAGGGTGAGAATAGAGCAAGGCCATGATGTAAGAATTAATTGTTGTTAAGTGAGTATATTTCTTTCTTTCTAAGAAAATTTAAAATTATCTCAAATTTTAATGGACAGGTTTTCTTCCACTTTATTGATGAATATCAAATTGATAGTCATAGAGATTTTTAATATACATTTGACTATGCTAATTACTATGCTATTACTCAAATGAATAAAATCAAGTTTTAAAATGTGTTTAAAACTCTGGTTTTATAGATTTTATTACATAAGTAATACATGGCATGGCGAAATCTGACCTCTGTGTAGTCATGGAAGCAACCTGCTGTGAAGTTGGCAAACATCATTAGTAACAGATGAAGGCATGCTTAATTGAATAAGTAGGCCTTCCGGACCTGCTGGCAATACCCCACATCTAAATTAATTGGGAAATAATAAAAAATGTATTAGAATGCTTTAGTAACTGCAGGAATTCTACTTAGGGATAATACAAACACCTAAGTCCCTTAGTTTCTTTAAATCTTAGTTTCTTCATCTTCAACAAAAATTGTAATTCTAATACTTGTCTTCAAGAGTCCCTGTAAGAATTCAATGGGCTAAGTGAAAATAGACAATTTCTGTCATCTGATAGACTCTCACTGTCAATTTCCCTTCTCTTCTCCAAGGGTTCTCCACTCTGAGTGAGCTCTAAATACATAACTCATACCATTTCAACCACAATGTCTACTTAATGCTAATTTACTTTCTCCCCAGACATGCAAGCCCTCATTTCTAGAAGAAAAATAGAGAAATTCACCCTTAGTAATTTAAAATATCTGATATATAATTAAACATTTCTTGTCTGAGTGGGTTACTTATTAGACTGCTAACTACAAGTCAGCAGTTCAAATCCACTAGCTGTTCTATGGGAGATAAAAATAAAACAAAAATAAAAACCCCCAGTCTCAGAAACGAACGGACAGTGGATTTTCCATAGGGTTGCTCTGAGGTGGAATCGACTCAATGGAAATAAGTGGTTTGGGCTGG